AAACACTCATTTTCTCCCAGTTTGACTCCCCTCCCCCACAGTTTGACTTTTAATCGACATAGTTCTTTGTTCCTGTGGTAGAGACAACTGACTATCCTCCAGAAACCACTCTCCCTTCCTACTTTTTGGTAACAGACACCTGCTACTGTCACCACTCAGTTGAGCCACGTGCACTGTCCAGGTAGAGATCATATTTTCTAGTCTTATTTGCAACCGGGTATGGCCATGTAACTGAGCTGGGGAAACAGAATGTGAGAGGTGCCCATTCACTTCCTGGTAAGCTCCATAAAGACAAGGCTACTTGATTCAGCCTTCCTTTTTCCTTTTTCCTGCTGGCTGGAAAAGGAAGCAGGCACAACCTTAGAAGCCATGGGTAAGGCACAGCAGAGCTGTGCGCCAGCCGCAGGCTGCTCGCATCTGGACGGAGCCATTCTATTTAAGTTGCAGCTGTTACAGCAGTTTAACTGGTACCATAATTAATAAAATTTCAAACTACTCCAAAATGCCTCTTAAATACGAGGGTCCAGAAACAGAAAGATTTGGATGGACTCATTTGTGAGTACTTCTTTGTGGTTTCCCAGAACACGGAAGAGTGGAGGCTTTCCCAAAAGTAGGGTTCAGGGAAAGCATGACACTGTCAGATCCAAATTATTAAAAGGGCAATAAGGAACCCCTAAAGGGCCTGAACGAGGAGGAGGGCGATGAGATCACTGCCCTGATTTAGAAAGAATTCTGCCCAGAGTATGGAAGTAGGACTTGAGGTAGGAAAGACTGGAAGGGGGGAAGTGAGTGTGAAAGTCATACTAAGTTGAGGTGACTTCCAGGTAAATTTAGTTTTTCAGCTTGAATAGCTAGGACTGGTGTAATACACTAAGTAGAGATTACTAGAAGTCACTTGACTTAAATCTCAGGGGAAGGATCCAGGATGGAATTATTCATTTGTGACTAATCAGTATATGAAAGATGAGAGGACGCAAGGGGAGTACAAATGGAGAAAAAGATCAAAGAATCCTGGGGATCACTACCATTTAGGGAACAGGTGGGAGAAAAGGAGTCCGTGAAGGAGGAGAAGGGGGTCAGAGAAAGAGAAAGAGAACTGTGTTCTGGAAGCCCAAGGGGGCAAGTCAAGGATGTTAAGGAGTAAAGAGTGACTGGTGGGTCGGCAGTCAAGGTCACTTGAGACCTGAGCCCAAGCACTGTTGGCAAAGAAGTCCAGCTCACTGAGTGTAAGGATATTAGTGGGAATGGGAATGTTTGCTTCTGGAACGTGGGCTGGGAAGAAAAACAAAAGGCTGGGACAATAGCAAGAAAGGGAAGCAGGTTTGATGGAAGGGTGTACTTTTTAGGATGGGAAAGGAGTGGGGAGTTGGAAGTTAAAAATAACAGGGTGCGAAAGAACAGAGATGTTTTTATATGGCTGTTTGTTACCTGGAACATAAAGTTAAAAGATAGTGCAGTAAACCCATTTCTACAAGAAGCTTCAGCTCAAGGATGCAACATGCTGTTCTGACTAAGTTAAGGTAAAGAGATTACAGAATGCATAGTTCTACAGAAATTCTTTAACCGAGTTTGGATATATATTGTTTGCTTTTTCTCTTCAGTAAGTCGGTAAACATTAATCTCACTATCCACTGTATTACTTACCCAGTTGTAAAACTTTAAAGGGTCCTTTGTGGGGAACGTTGAAAGAAAAAAAGAGTTCCACAACTCCTCTCACTTTGAAAAGAAAACACCACACACAGACCTGTGAGTGAACAGCTCTGTGTACGTTTAAGTAATCTAAACAGCATCAGGAGCTCTCACCCCCTGAAAAAACTGTTAAGGTCAAGCATTAAAAGAACTCAAGTCAGATTACACCAAAAGGAAGAAGGTGGTCAAAGAACTATCTAACATTGCTAAGGAGAGTGTTAGTGACCTAAAGCAGCTTAATTTACTTCTCGTTTCCTCGGCCACAGCATGGAGGGGAAGACGGGGTGAGGAGGAGGTAGTGTATGATGCTGGCATCTGTCAGTGACAATCTTTCTGTTTTTACTTGAGAGAGAGAGGGAGGGTGAGACAGAGAGAGACTCCACTGATGTGTAACCTTAACTGACTGAGCCACCCAGATGCCCCTGTGAGTGACTATCTTGGCTGTGAGATACCATCACATAACAAGGAGACCGCTGAACATTCACAGGAGACAAGAGGAAAACTGCCCCCACCGAGGAATCAACACACACCCAAGCTCATGAAACTGTCACATCCCCCTGAGCAGTTTTAATGCCTGTTCTAGTTTTATTGAGAAAAAAAAAATGAGGTTTAGAAAGCGTGAATTACCAAGATCACACAGCTAACAAACAAACAAACAAACAAACAAACAAACCAACCAGGATTCAAAGCCCCATCTGACTCTACCAAACCCATTCCTATCCCCTTGAGCTTGTTTTAAATTGGAAATCTGGGGTGTCTGGGTGGCTCAGTGGGTTAAGTGTTCGACTTTGCCTCAGGTCATGATCTCACAGTTGGTGGGTTCGAGCTCTGCGTTGGGCTCTGTGCTGACAGCTCGGAGCCTGGAGCCTGCTTCAGAGTCTGTGTTTCTCTCTCTGCCCCTCCCCCAGATTGTGCTCTCTCTCTCTCTCTCTCTCAAAAATAAAATAAACATTCAAAAAAGTGTTTTTTTTTAAATTGGAGATTGGCTCCAATTAAATTAAAAAATGTCCCCCTATTTATGAATTATTAGAAGGAATGCTTAAGTAAAGGAACATAACCCTGGTGTTCAAAGGCTGCCTCAGGACACAAGGAGCAAAGTCTAAAAAGTGAAATGACCATTTACAATCCCACTGCCATTTCATAACAGGATTACCTAACACCTTTATCATCATCTCAGCTTTTAAAAGCACTTACGTGGATTCCAACTAATCTGATCCTTACAAACCCCTAGGAGACAAAGAAATAGTGTCAACGTCATTTTTTTAGCCAAGAAATTGTTGCAACAAGGCAGTGGCCCAGCTGATACTGGAAGCTGGGAGCTCTGTAATGTCAAACAGTGTACTTACTAGAATAGATGGTCTCACAATTTTACCTAATCTTCAGGAGTAGTTAGTGAAGTCAGACCAAATACTCACTAGAAACTCTTCTTGCACTGCAGTTTATGAAGCTTTCCTTTTTATTCTGAATTCATTTACTATAAACTGTAACTGTACTTCTTAAAGAGTAAATAACTCACTTGGGCCTGCCAGCTCTTGGTGCAAAATATGTACTGACTGCCCAGGGTGAACAGAGTACTGCTGTAGCTATGACTGTAGGAATCCTACAGGAAGGTTAAGAGACTTCAATCAGTGCTAAGAATGTTAGTCAGTGGTGGGACTGCCTGCATTTACTACATTCTTATAATTCTACCTTGACAAATCAATTTCCTTCAGTCCTTCTGAAAAGATGCACCTTTGGCATGCCTATAACATTCTCAGTCTCTGAGAATGAAAAATACTGGTATTAGGGAAAATATTTCTACCTATTATTTTTAATTCAATGGTTACACAATCAAGCCCATCAAGTTACATCCTAATAATCTATACCTAATGGCTACTTTCCATAAAGTATAGTATGTGAGCAGGTAGTGTGTTTCTCAAGTAACTTGGGTCTTTATTCACTAATAACATAATCACAAGGAGAAGAAAACCAGACCTGAATTGCAAAAGCGTCGCTGAAAGATGGTAATACCACCAATACAAATTACAGTCCTCCTATAAATCAGAGACCATCCTCAATCTCACAGAGAGCTTCCTGCCCAGTAAAGTCTGCCTTGATTGGTTTTCTTTCTGTTGTTGCTGTTGAAAAACCGACAGACAGGTGCCTGGGTGGCTCAGTTGGTTAAGCGTCAGGACTTCAGCCTAGGTCATGATGTCGCCATTCCTGAGTTTGAGCCCCGCGTCAGGCTTTGTGCTGACAGCTCAGAGCCTGGAGCCTGTTTCAGATTCTGTGTCTCCGTCTGTCTCTCTCTGTCTCTCTCTGCCCTACCCCCACTTAGGCTCTGTCTCTCAAAAATAAACACTTAAAAAAGAAAAAAAAAAGAAAGAGTGAGCCAGCCCAGGCAGCATCATGAGAATTTCACACACACACACACACACACACACACACACACACACACGCACACACACACACACCCCCAAGCAGCAACATGGGAATTTCAGGCACATACACACATACCATTTAAAGCCCAAGTGAGTGCATCTAGTTTTTAAGGAAATACTAACAACAAGAAACAGGTTGAGGGTATTTTCCACTGGTTTAAAAATAAAGCGTTCTACCCTTTAAAAAAAAAAAAAAGAATCTTAGAATTATAGCAACAGGAAGCAGCAGCTGGATTTATCATCCTTCATTTCCTCTGAGAGTTGTAGTAAGGAACTCCCCATTGAGACAAAAGCAATGGAGGGGTAGCCTACTCCTGCTTGGACCCAGAGCCACATGCTGCTGTGCACTGGCTGGCCACTTCAAAATCAGCCCGCTCACTTTGTCTCCCAAAGCTTTCCGTGCCCAGGTCCTAGGCTTTGACAGAATGAGAAATCTGACCAGAAGTTAAACACACATAATGTAATAGCCCAGGGTCTAGGAAAGCCCAGGAACAACCCCCCTGCCCCAGGTCTCTCTCCGGGGCTCCAGCAGGAGAGCTGGGCTTGGCTTCCTTCAGCCACTTGTGTGTAGCACAAGTTCTTTATTTCTCTTGGCCTCGGTTCCCTCATCTGTGAAGTGGCAACGGGACCGCCTATTTCACAAGGTTGTACATGGGCAACGAGACAATGAATGTCAAAATACCCTGCAAGTCCCCCGTCAATAATAATACCCCAGAGTAACAGCAATACATACCCTTGTGGAAGGGGTTTTACCAGTTCCAAAGCTTGCACAAATATTATCTTTCCCTGTGACCCTCAAAATGATTCAGTAGCTTAGGTGGTGGCGGCTGCATCATCATCACCACCAACACTGTTATTAGTAGTGTTTTATAAATGAGCTGGTCTAGAAGAACATCATAGGAAAACTGCGTCTTCACTCCCTAGCAAGCATCCAAATCATTGGAATATACTTCTGGCAGTACATGAGAGGTAAGTACGAGGCTGGGAGTTATGAAAGCTGTGCACAATTCAGGTCTGCTACTCTGGGCAAGTCCCTTTAACCTCTGCAGGCGATATGATTCATCCATCTGTCATCAGGCTGGTGGGAGACAAAAATAAAATTAGACCTGGTTTCAGCTCTTGAAGAGCTCACTTGCAGGCGAGAGTGGGGGATGGAAAGAAGTGACATATAAACAGGATTAATTACAAAATGGTATTTGCTTAAAAGATGGAGTTGAACAAAATGCCTTGGGATCACAAAACAGGAAATGACTAACTTTGGGGAACTCATGGAAGAATTCCTTTCATTTGTCAACTGGGAAAAGAAGGAAATCAGACCACACATTTATCAATGTCTCTCCGAGCTAAAGCTCTGAGAAAACTAGGCTTAGAGAGGCTGTCAGCAATATTGATACACAGTACAAGTCTTCCTGGACACCTGTGCACAGCTGATACTGCATTTAAAACGATGCAGGTGGGGCACCTGGTGGCTCAGTTGGTTAAGCGTCTGACTTTGGCTCAGGTCATCATCTCACTGTCCGTGAGTTCAAGCCCCACGTTGGGCTCTGTGCTGACTGCTCAGAGCCTGGAGCCTGTTTCAGATTCTGTGTCTCCCTCTCTCTCTGCTCCTCCCCCGTTCATGCTCTGTCTCTCTCTGTCTCAAAAATAAATGTTTAAAAAAAAAAATTAAAAATAAAATAAAATAAAATAAAATGATGCAGGTATCTTAAGCAGTAGAAAAGTGTACTTTAGAAACCTCTGAGGGGCATCTGGGTGGCTCAGTGGGTTGAGCATCCGACTTCGGCTCAGGTCATGATCTCGCAGTCCATGAGTTCGAGCCCCGCGTCGGGCTCTGTGCTGACAGCTCAGAGCCTGGAGCCTGTTTCAGATTCTGTGTCTCCCTCTCTCTGACCCTCCCCCATTCATGCTCTGTCTCTCTCTGTCTCAAAAATAAATAAACGTTAAAAAAATTAAAAAAAAAATAAATCTCTGAGCAACAAGATTTTTCAGAATATTACTCAAATACAAATCATACTTGCAAGTCTGTAGAAGTTTGTGGGAGCTGGGTCTATAGTTAGCCCTATTTGTAGTAGTTATAAGACTTAGATCCTAGAGCCAGACTGTCTGGGTTAAACTCTGGACTCTACCTGTTCTCTAGCTGTGTAACTAGCTAAGCTACTTGACCTCTCTGTGCTTCAGATGGAATGCTGGTGGTGGTGGCAGGAGCAGGGGAGGAGGAAGAGGAGTAGTAACACCACCACCTACATCTACCTCACAAGTTTGTTGTGAGGACTGAAAGAACTACTATAGGGCTGCCTGGGTGGCTCAGTTGGTTAAGTGTCTGGCTCTTGATTTCGGCTCAGGTCACGATTTCAAGGTTCATGGCATTGAGCCCTGTGTGGGCTTTGTGATGGCAGTGTGGAGCCCGCTTGGGATTCTCTCTCTCCCCATCTCTCTGCTCCTCCCCCTGTCGTGTGTGTGTGTGTGTGTGTGTGTGTGTGTGTGTGTGCGCGCGGGCACATGCACGCACTCTCTCTCTCAAAATAAATAAACATAAAAAAAAGAACTACTATATACACATACTTAGAGCAATTCTTGGCACACGATAAAGGCTGAGTTAGCTACTATCATGATTTTCAGAAGTATAAGAATTGGCATTTTTTGGATTGCACTTCTACAGATACTCTCTTAAGCCTGAAAGTTTCCAATTTGGTCTCAATCCACAATTTTCATTTTTCAGAAACTTATCAAAAGTTCAATTAATCAAGAATGAAATAAGGGTGCCTGGATGGCTCAGTTGGCTAAGCGTCTGACTGCCTTAGGTCATGATCTCACAGTTTGTGAGTTCAAGCCCCACATCGGGCTCTGTGCTGACAGCTCAGAGCCTCCCTCTCTCTCTGCCCCTTCCCTGCTTGCACTCTGTCTCTGTCTCTTTCTCTCTCTCTCAAAAATAAACAAAGATTTAAAAAATTTAAAAAAAAAAGAATGAAATATAGGTTATCTGCTTCAGAAATACATACCCCCAAATTCTGCTTAAGTGAAACACACTAAGTATGATTTAAAAAACTGATTTCCAGGGACTGATCTGAAACTAACATAGGCAATACAGGTTTATGGTGATAGAAATGCTTGCACTTTAGAAAACCAGATGCCTTTAAAGGGACTATACCAGAGTTTTGAATGATACTTTGGAATTATAAAAAAGCTGAAAATGAAAGAGGGAGAATGCCCATATTCTCACAAAAATTTTTTTTAATTTAGTTTTATGTTTAAAACATTTTAATACTTTAAAATAAATATTCAAGGAATATTAAATATGCAAATGTAGCTACCTGCTGAAAAATATAAGCGTTTAAACAACAAAGCTCTTTTCACTTTTCTCACTGAATTCACGCAGAATTTCAGGAAATTACTTGGGCTGCTAACAGTATTCATCATTTTTATGTAGTAGCCATCACGTGAAATGGATTGTATCCAGATAAAATTAAACTTCTGTAAATCAAACTGCCATATTTTAATTGGTAGCATTAGCAACACTCACCAAACCAGAAGATTCTGCATTTAATATTTAATATATTAAACATCATCATCCCATTGGCTCTCAACCAACATCAATACTTGCAGACTCTTGGGGCCTGTGGTTTTCATCTTAGTCAATAATGCTTAGCTTCAGGCCTCAAAATTAATCATTAAAATCTGCTGCTGCAAAAAATATTCACTAGAACCCCACAAAAATAAAGAGAGGCAGGATATTTATCAGTCTTATGTTCTAGAAAGAATGGGATACTTTTTCTCAATACAAAACAGGTTTGTTTTGTGATTCTACTTAATGCTTTATAATGTATCCATAGGAAATGAAGCAAAATAATTCAAGCTATAATTTACTTAAATTCAAGTACATGCTAGGCACATTTGAGGAGGGGTTTTACAAAAGTCCGTTTAATTGGCACAACACTTTGAGACAAATTATTTCCCTAATTTTACAGGTGAAAAAAAAAAGCTTACAAATGTTAGGTAATATTCTCATAAAGTCACAGAGCTAAAAACTGAAAGACTGGGAAACAAAACTAACCCTAAACACACACACACATACTTGCTTGTAGGTTATCCAGGTAATCATTTCAGAGACAGATAAAGAAGACTAAAAATGTTTCTTAATGAGGGAATTAGATGAGTCTACTTCATTTTGCTAATTAAGAATTACAAATGATATAAAACGAACCTAAAAGTGCTCTGTGGACATACAGTCAAAAATTTAGGAATAAACCTTATGAGAAATTTTAGGTGCCCCTGTAAGGTCAAAAGGCCATTTTCTCAACTAACCAATCTTTATAATCAAAGTTAATTAAAACCAAAAAGTATAGTGATATTTTAATAATTTTATAGAAAAGGTTTACTTAAAATAGGGCTCAACATTCAAACAATTCAGTGCCATTAAGTTTCATTGATGTACATTGAGTATGTCCATTGAGTTCATTGAGTCATTGATGTTCATTGAGTATGCTCAGAAAATAGAGGAGTAAGATTCTTTCATGCTTTTATCTGCTTAATTATATTGTGTGACGTTCTGCTATATTTGGTGCAATGATTTATAACTCCTAGAGTACCTGAGGGCCATAAACTCTTCTTATTAGCAGGTTTCCAGACTGTCCTGCCTTTTACTGTTTTATAATAAAATACTAAAATAATGTAACTAGTTTATGCATCAGGACAGCTGTTACTTTAGGCTCATACAAAAGAGAATTTAATAGTTAATCAACCCATCTAGGACAGCTTTATGATAAACGTGACTCTAAAAACACTAGGTTGTTCTAGGAGAAACTATGCAAAGTTGATCGCATATTCCCAGAATAATGCATTCTTTGGGTACCCCAAGTTCTACTTCTAGAAGCAACAGCAAAGTGCTAGTAGAACTCTAGTTCTCACCCTGACTAGCTATTGGATCCTAGTAATCTCTAGGTCTTAGGTTCTCTATCTGTAAAACAGATAAGACTGTATTAGATTATCTCTTCCTTCCTGACATTAAATTTTAAGATTCAGTTCACACTTAAAATCCAAACTCTAATATATCCTTCAAAGAGAGCCATCTGCCTCCCTTCCTCACCCGGAGGCACAGTCAGCTGCTCAGAGTAGCTGAGTCCCCACACTGCTTTATTCACAGTTCATTAGGGTAATCATTAGGATATAATTATTTGTTTACCCAACAGAGTATAAGTGTTTCCAGAGGAGAAACTGTGCCTTACTGATCTTCGTGTATGTCATATAAGACTGAGATTCTAATTGCTTGGTATATAAAAAATATGCAACAGATGTTTTAAAAATAAATTCTTTGAACTACCCCATGAAGCAGGCAGGCATTCATTTGGTACCTCCTTTGTATGGGCTCTAGACCACATTCTGGAGATGAACCAAAGTTCCTGCCCATAAAGCACTTGCAATTTAGAAACAGGGCAATCAGGTGTGATGATGAATAATAATACAAGTTTAGTACGTTTTAAGTCATAAGTTTTAAGTGAGTTTTATAGAAAAAAAAACATGCTCTTGGAGTTTAATGTATCTAAGACCTTTTGATGCTTTAACATTGTGTGAGTGACCTTGCAAAGGCTTACCATTTCCCCTCTTCCAACCATTCTCCATATTATGGGTATGACTCTGTAGCATACTCTTTTAAAAAAAAAAAAATTGTTAATGTTTATTTATTTTTGAGAAAGAGACAGAGCGCAAGTGGGGTAGGGTCAGAGAGAAAGGGAGACACAGAATCCAAAGCAGGCTCCAGGCTCTGAGCTGTCAGCAGAAAGCCCCAAGTGGGCCTCGAACTCACAAACCACGAGATCATGACCTGAGCTGAAGTCAAACGCTTAACTGCCTGAGCCACCCAGGCACCCCTGTATCATGCTCATTTTTATTATTTTTTAATTAAAAAAAATGTTTAATGTTTATTTTTGAGAGAGAGAGAGAGAGAGAAAGAAAGAGTGTGAGCAGGGAAGGGGCAGATAGAGAGGGAGACGCAGAATCTGAAGCAGGCTCCAGGCTGAGAGCTGTCAGCACAGAGCTCAACACAGGGCTCAAACTCACGGACTACAAGATCATGACCTGAGCCAAAGTCAGACACTCTACCCACTGAGCCACCCAGGCACCCTTCATACTCATTTTTTAATGATTCAATTGTTCAGAAGACAAAGTGATCTTGATCTCAAAAGAGCAGAGACTGATTCAGAGTGGACAAAGACTTAGATACTTGAAGATAAACAAAAGAAAAAACATTTAGGGAAGACTAATACAAATTTGTAATGGGAGTTGTAAGTTAAATGTGAAGTTACCTCACGCTGGAGCACGGAAAAGAAAAGGAGTAAAAAGGTATGTTTTTTAGTCTGGAAGTGTTTAGCTTTCAAGTTCCAAAACATCATTTTGTGTAGTACTCGTCTGTTTTCTGGTATTTATTTCTCTTGTTCGAACAATGCACATCCCTGGCGGTTAGCAACAAGAGGGAGTAAAGGCTGCTAGCACTGGCACCTAAAGGCACCGTGGAAGACAGGAAGCCCAGCACCTGAAGGATGGCCAAGAAGCCCTTCAGACCCTTTGCTGACAACTCATAATAGGCTCTCTGCATGAATACATGCTGACACATTTGCATGGAGGAGACTGAGGGGAACCGCTCTTTGCATTTCTTAAGTAGCACCTGAACTGAGATGAGCCGGGGTGCACGTTGCAAACCCAGATTTCTGGGCTCTGCTCAGACGTCTCCCTTTCTACCCGAGCCGCACCACGCAGTAAAGCAAACTAAACGTAGCTTGGGAACTCTGGCCAGCAAGGCTGAGGTGAGATGACTCAGCAGGTTAGAGCTGTGACCCTTTACTTCTGGACTCATTATTCTGGTTCTTATCCCATGGCTACTACTAATGCACAAGCACGGACTGGTCTTACTCCAGAGCCCATCTGAGAACATGGAGTGGCTAACATAGCTTGGCACGACACATGGGCAGGTTTTCCCGAAGAAAGCCCCAGTTCCTGGTTGACAACCAGCTCCCAAGAGTTTGGCCGAGAACACTAACAAAAAGGTCACTGTCCTCCTTAAACTGTACAATTCTATTATTTAGAAAGGGCACAGAAGTTAGGGAAAGTAGAAAAGTTGGGTGGGAGGTGGGATTGTGGGATTCTGTCAGCTAAGTACTATAAATCAATTTCCAAAGCTATGAAATTTATCATGGTAATAATAATAACATTTCTTTCAATGAGACTCTACTTTTTTCTATTCTTCAGAAACTGCAATGGATTTGCTTCTGTCTGAGCTGAGTGTTGCCACACAGGGTTCTCTGTATGTTGCTTATTCACCTGGGCTAAGTTATATATGCCACCAGATCACCAGGAAAAAAATGTGGCAGCCACATAAATCATGTGTTTCTACTCTACATCTGAACCTTTAGCTAAAGGGCAGAGAAGGGCAAAGAAGGGCAATCTCAGGTTCAATCACACTGACAGATGCCGTATCTCCCTTCCATATCTCCCTTCCTCGCTAAATGTCCCTGGTGAGCAGGGCAAGGGTTGGCCTACTTTTGAATACAAGAACAGGTGTTGCAAGAGGACTTTCATTTACCCTCCCCATGTTATCACCCAGACAAAATTCCCCATAATAATAGACCTGGTCTCGGGGCGCCTGGATGGCGCAGTCGGTTAAGCGTCCGACTTCAGCCAGGTCACGATCTCGCGGTCCGTGAGTTTGAGCCCCGCGTCGGGCTCTGGGCTGATGGCTCAGAGTCTGGAGCCTGTTTCCGATTCTGTGTCTCCCTCTCTCTCTGCCCCTCCCCCGTTCATGCTCTGTCTCTCTCTGTCCCAAAAATAAATAAATGTTGAAAAAAAAATTTTTTAAATAATAGACCTGGTCTCTCTCTCCACCTTCCCCTTCCTCTTTCTTCTCTTTGGGACCTGCCTGCCTGCAGAGATGGTGCATTCCGGACTCCTCTCTTGTGGGGTGTTGGAAGGCTTTACCTGCTGGCTGCCAGCTTCTGCTGTCCTGCTATGTTGGGGAAAAAGCGGGTAGTCTATCTAATTCAAGGATGAAATTTCAGAAGACCCACTTGGCTGCAGACCCAAAGCCACGTTCTCCAAAAAGTACTTTCAGTAATAAAGATGGCATTTTGCTGCCCATCAGCCTGACTCCTTTATCTTTCTCAGTGGCTTTTTAATTTGGGCAATGGAGGAGTTATTTCTGGCCCCCCTCAAACCTCAAGAGTGGGTAGGCCACTTGGCCTTACAGTTCGTGGCAATTATTTACTGAAGATATACGTACACTATACAATGTGGCGAGAAAGAAATGAAAATAATCTGTCTGGTCTAATCTGTTCATGGGTGGCTGTGACCATATCCCATCCCACCAGCTTCTCGGGAAGGTAGTCCAAAACATGGTATCCAATTTGTGTGAAATTTAGAGGGAAACAATTCATCTAAAATATATTCGAAAGAGAAACAACTCTATCAAAAATATTATCGATGACTTAGTCCACGGAAATAGGTTTTTGGCCTATGAGAAGCGTGAACCACCTGGAAACTTTCTTCCAAATACTTTACAAGCCAAATGATACAAGTAAAAAGTTTATTACCCTTAGTATGATTTGTATGTTCTGAAGGGCACCACGAAATGTCTTCAAGTTCTTCCTTGTTTCTAACAGGTGAATATTTTACACTCTCAATCCTTTATAAAAGCATTATTTTTTTTTAAATTTTTTTTTCAACGTTTATTTATTTTTGGGACAGAGAGAGACAGAGCATGAACGGGGGAGGGGCAGAGAGAGAGGGAGACACAGAATCGGAAACAGGCTCCAGGCTCTGAGCCATCAGCCCAGAGCCTGACGCGGGGCTCGAACTCCCAGACCGCGAGATCGTGACCTGGCTGAAGTCGGACGCTTAACCGACTGCGCCACCCAAGGGCCCCTATAAAAGCATTATTAAAAGCCTTCAAAATGAAGTGTTTCTGTGTAAAAGTTCTACAGCTAGCCATTTGCTTGCAACTGAAAAAGCTAGTCATGGGTAGAATCGTAAGAAGCAGAGACACTAGACAGCTAACAAAGTGACTTCAATATGTGTCATTATTATAATTCATCTCCACAAGTACTCTGTGAACTAAGTACTACTATCAACCTCAAGTGAGGGGAGAAAATGGTGTTCAAGTGGTTTACCACTCCGCCCAAGATTACTCAGGTAATTAACATTGGCAGCAGGGAGACTCAAACCCAGGTCTTCTGATGGTAAAACGTAAGTGCTTTCTATGAAGTCATGATGCTGGAATTAGGATGCTAAGGTGCCTACACCCTCCCTCCAGTTTTCCAGAGACCTGGGCAGCAACAACCAAAAGAAGTAATCTGAAGCAGACAGAAGAGCAAGCTAGCTCACTGAGTTCAGATTCCCCTGACCTTCTGTATTCTTTCTCAGCCCTTTTAAGGAAGAAAAGTGAGTGAACTCATTTCATTTAATTTCCTTCCTTCCCTTCCCCATGCCTGACCCACAAAGACACAGCCCGGGAACCAGACCAGTGGGGAGCTGAGATCTCTAAAAACAGTTTCACATCTGTTAAACTATAGGATGCTCTGCTAACTCCAAAGGGAAGCTGAGGGTCCAGCTTTCTTGAATTCCCCAGTGGTCAGATGGTCAGTACAGCTGTGATGAAAACCGCAGCTGAGCCTGGGGGCTCTTGAAGGAGCCAAGCTAAGGGTGAAAAGCCTTTGGCTTTGAAGGGAGGGGGTGGGGGGAGGCTAAGAGAGCTCCTCCAGAATGCTCCCAATGACATCTCTATTGTAAAGTTTTCATCCTATCCCCTCACTTATTTTCTAGACCCCACCTTCTCTGGTTTGTCCTTGGAAAAACAGCAACAGGCTTGAGTCCTGAGAAGGGGGAAGTTGGGTGGTCTCAGGCTAATTCCATGGGAATTCCATGATCACAGTTCTTCCTGGGGGCAAAAACAATGATGGACTGGAGCCACTCAAGCCACTAAATAAACAAATGACTAGTGAATGTTAAAATACCAGAGTTATTAAGATAATCTTAAAAGTATACTTACACAAGGCACCTGGGTAGCTCAGTCGGTTAAGCATCCGACTTCAGCTCTGGTCATGATCATGTGCTTTGTGGGTTCGAGCCCAGCATCGGGCTCTGTGCTAACAACTCAGAGCCCGGAGCCTGCTTCAGATTCTGTCTCCCTCTCGCTCTGCCCCTCCCCTGCTTGCGCTCTCTGTCTCCCCAAAATAAATAAACGTTAAAAAAATTTAAAAAAATTATACTTGTATTTTGGAAGAAATCAATTCAAAGCCAACTATAAAATTTCTGGGCTCAATTTGAGGCATCAAATTAGTCTTAAGAACTCCATTCAAGGGAAGTAGCAGACTGAAATATTCATAAAATAAGAGACTCCTTTTTATGAGTCATGGTTATCACCACTATTACGAATGCCAGCAAATAACCTCAAAAGTCAATGGTGGTAAAGCACCAGAGAAAACAGTGAACTTTTAGAAGGTAACCCTCCTTTTTATTTCTTTCTTTTCTTTTCCTCTTTTTTAAATAGGCTTCACGCCCAGTGCAAAGCCCGATGCAGGGCTTGAACTCACAACCCTGAGATCGAGACCTGAGCTGAGATCAAGAGTCCGATGCTTAACTAACTGAGCCCCCCAGGTGGCCCGGAAACCCTCCTATTTAGAACAAATCAATCAACAACACCAGAATGCTAAAAAAGCACATTTCAATGTGTGTAATTGTGCTCACTTGAAGAGTGAGAGGTAAGATACCTAAAACCAGCCTTTCTGGCTAATCCTGCCATTTCTCTCAGCGGTGAGAACAGTGTCACCTGAGTGGAAATTACACTTGGCAATGTGATACTGTGTATCTCACTGAAAAGGCATCCCCATCAGACAACTTTTATTTTGATCAAATACAGGGTAGAAAAACAGGAGAAGGAGAATGAAAAAAAGATGGCAATGCAGAGAAAAGACATTACCTAATATATTTAAGAGGAAGCACTTCCTGGAACTTGTCAACAATTCACACCACCTTCATCTCGATGAGAATAAATCCAAAATCAGTTCTTCCTCTCCTCAAACAGAAAGCATTGCCACTTTCCCTGTGCTGTTCCCAGCCCACCAAACCTCCCAACTCTTCTTTCTTTGAACACATAGTAAGCGGAATGGTTAAGAGCAGGGTTCAGAAATCCCATCACTAGAGTAAAAATACTGGCTCTGCCATGTATTAGCTGTTTGACCTTCAGGTTGGTTACTTAACATCTCCGTCCCTCCCTTTCCTTATCAGTAAGATGGAAAAAAATAGCACTCATCTGAGGCTGTGGTGAGGACTGAATGAATCCGTACATGTACTGCGCTTATACAGTGCCTGGCACACGATAAGCACTCTATACATTTAACTTTGATGATGGTGGTGATGATGGCAATGACAAGGACAGGGGCTTAACCAGACTGTGGTGCAAACAAGGACCTGGAGATCACATAGTTCCCCCAAGCAAGCACACAACCCACTAGAAAAAAGCCTTCTTATTCTGTGGACCTAGGGGACTCAAAGTGATTCTTCTCAGTGGCTACAGCAGCTTATCAGAAGGGTCAGGCTCAAAGGACCAAAGCCAGGGCAGGAAAGATACGGAGGAACAGAGACAGAGTGCTTGAGTCTGGGAGAAACTCGTTTGGGGCAGTTCCGAGAAGTGGTAGCAGCCAACAGTTCACAATCATGGGATTTAGAACTTAGAAAGAAAGTAACAGGCCAGTCAGATATGCACGTTTTGTTAATATGGCCAAACTCTCCACCACCCTTCCCTCAAGGTCCATCTTCCAGAAACTGCTCGAAGTTCCTAGAGCACTTTTTCACATTTTCATGGTTACCTTTGGCATGTAATCATTCTGGGGAATAACTGATGTCTCAATTCAATTATAAATTCTGAAAGGAGGTATGTGTGTGCCTTATACTCTCATATCTCTCTTCCTGGCCTATCCCAGCACCTAACTCCCACGATGGACATATTCAAATGGGAAGTACACAATGTAAAGGCTCTGAGTGAGCCAGTGCTATAGAGATACATGGTATTATATTAAAATAAGCACACACATAGCTAGTGCAGAGAAAAAGACACAGAGAAGCACGCCTGCCCCTTCCTTTTTGAGGCTTCAGTGAAAACGCTGAGTCCCTAAAGTTTAGAGGTAGAACATTAAGCTGTCAGTAAAACTACTGAAAAGATTCAGTTCCAAGGAGAATTTGAATTAAATAACAAACCATAAAGTAATAAGGAAGTCCAGCAAAACTCTGCTCTCCACCACCCCACCCCCCCCACGCCCGCCGCCATGATGGCCACTTTGATTTTTTTTTAAACAGTGAACATCAAATTCTTTTTTTTTTTTTAATTTTTTTTAATGTTTATTTATTTTTGAGACAGAGAGAGACAGAGCATGAACGGGGGAGGGGCAGAGAGAGAGGGAGACACAGAATCAGAAGCAGGCTCCAGGCTCTGAGCCATCAGCCCAGAGCCCGACGCGGGGCTCGAACTCACAGACCGCGAGATCGTGACCTGAGCCGAAGTCGGACGCTTAACCGACTGAGCCACCCAGGCACCCCTCAAATTCTTTTAAAAATTTTCTAGTGGTACCTTTGCTTTGCAGGTGCCCTAAATACACGTTTAACCTATCTAGTAATCTAGTCCTACTTGGGCACCAAAGGATTCCCTGCGGACACTGAGAGGCAGGCGTGGAAGAATGGAGTCGGGCAAGAGTCAGCAGGTGGAGAGGGAGGAGTGAAGACAGCAGGAACCAAAGCAGAGGGGCAGAGATGGCAGCTAGAAATTGGACAACGATGCAGTCAGAGTGAGGTTCGTGAGTTCAATTCCTGCCAGCTTCAATCTAGAGAGAACTGCAATCTTCTCCTTTTACTGGCCAGAAGTGACAGCCCACTGATGATGACTTACTCAACGCCAAAGCTGCCAGTGTGGGGTGGAGCAGGAACTGGAATCTGGGTCTCCCAATGCCTCCTTGGAGCCCTACCTCCTGGGCACGTGCCCCTTCTGGACACTCACAGGGCACGAGGGATCAGGGCTCAGAACTCAAGCAGCCACGAAAAAGCTCCCCAGTCTCCCCTGCCTCAGTGCCACATGTTGAAAGAGCCAAGAGAAGAGGCGAGAGAGATTAGGCTCCTGGTTATTCACTGTTTTGATGAAGCCATCTGCCCTTCTGATCAGATTTGCTGGACTAGAGATGCATGGGCACAATGTTTCCCAGCCAGGAGGACGTCTGACTGGATCAGGCCCAGGCTTGACAACTGATGGCGTGAAAGCACACGGCACAAGAAGTACGCACCATTTCCAATCCCAGTGCCCCTACTGCCTCCACTGGCAGAAGAAATGAAATCACCACTGGATGCATGGCTTTGTGGTTTCTTGATTCCTAAGAGTACAGCTGTGAAGAACACAGGGTGAGTATAGGACATGTAAACCAACAGAGGAAGCTGCTTTACGAACAGTCTTGAAAGGGATACTGTTGTGGTTTTACTGGCTATAAAATTAGGGCAGACACAGAAAATGACTGTGAGGCTCAACAGATGCTCCTGCTAAGTGCTCTGCGTGGCTTGTGGGCCATCTCTCAGTTTAATTACAATCCGGACCTCCTGAGCTATAAAAGCCATCTTCATAAGATCCAGCCTCCTTCCTCTGAGAGCAACTTTCTGCAAGTATCACTATGCTTCAATGCCCACTGCAAGTGTTAAACACATATATGGTACCTGACCTGGACACAGTGTTCTTTTTAATCTTGGGATTTTGACGATGTACATAAATCACTCAGTCGCATTCCTGTTCCCTATTCCAAACACCTACACAAAATCAGGCAAATGAAGAGGAAAATAGATGACTCCATCTCTTGCCTTCTTTCTCCTTTGACAGCTCTCAAAGGCACCCTACTTAATAAAAAGGTCATTTCTCCGGAGGGAAAGCAAGTGAGACTTGAATAAAAAGCTTGTCATCATTAGCATCACAATGTCCACCTTCTTGGTCCTCACCTACAAGCCTCTGCCACTCCTTCCCTCTGCCAAGTATATCCAGAGAACATCCAGCTTTCCTGCCCTCACCTTGACTTCCCCTTTGTCACCCATCAGTGCCTGTGGGAAGCCTTCCCCCAAATCTCTATGCCAGTAACCTACTCCTTCTAATTCCTTCTGTGAGGCTCTCAGAGTATCCTGTGCATTTTGGCACCTCCACACCCTTTTACAATTACCTGGCTTTGAGTCTGTCTTCCTCACTGAACTGTAGGCTTCTCCAGGGCAGGGATCACTACTTATTCATGTTTGTTTCCCCGAGGATGAGTAATGGCACCTGGCACACAGCAAGAGCGCAACACTTACATGGTTGTAAGCCAGTGTCACACACATTTTTTTTTTTGTAAGTTTATTCATTTATTTTGTGTGTGTGTGAGACAGACAGAATCCTAAGCAGACTGCACCATCAGCATAGAGCCTGACGTGGGGCTTGAACTCATAAACTGAGAGATCATAACATGAGCCAAAGCCAGATGCTTAACTGACTGAGCCACCCAGCCCTCCTGCCCCCATTCTTTAACTGGATTCTTCTTCTTTTTTTTAATGTTTATTTTGAGAGAGAGAGGGAGAGAGACAGAGAGCAAGTGGGAGAGGGGCAGAGAGAGAGGGAGACAGAATTCAAAGGCTCCCGACGAGGGGCTCCAACCCACAAACCGTGAGATCATGACCTGAGCTGAAGTTGGACACTTAACCTACTGAGCCACCCAGGCGCGCCTCTTTAACTGGATTCTTAAAGTGACACTTAGGAATTGTTAGTCTCACTTTACAAAGAAACTGAGGTTCAGAAAGGTTTTATAGGCTCCCAAGGCCACCAGTTCTGGCACCTTCTGGCTCCAGGCTTGATTTTCACTGGACCCCATTACCATCAGTTACCTATACAAGTTCTATATAGAGGATGAAAGAGAAAGCTCAGATCCTCTGATGTAAGCATATATGCAGTGACCTGCTTATCTGAAGAAATAACACAGAACCTTCAAATGTGGATAAAATCATTGCTCTGAAGGGAGGAACACTGATCCGATCTGGAGATGGAATTTACACTCATTCTTTTCTCAAGCACCTTTCCATCCTAAAGCTCTGCAGAAATGTCTGGTGGATGTGAGTTAAAGACAAACAAAAGTTCATCTGATTAAAAGGTCACGAGACAAACTGTCTCTGGTTACACTGCCAAAACTGCCTCAGACTTCTTGAACGAGCTGGACGTAGGGCCGCAGCAGCTGCCAAGCTAGAAGTCACCTGGGTGTGGCTGATTCACCATTAATGCTCTGAGAAGCAACAACCTGTAGGAACTGTGGCTGCTTGGCAGGACGGGGCTGGTTTGGTCTTTGACCCTTCATGACTCTCTTAAGTGCAGCTGAACTTCTCCTCAGCTGAGGAAAGCAGTTTTCAGCACAGCTGTACCCTAGAATAATGTGAGGGAGCCTCTGAAGTGTGGCCAAGCCAGGCCCCAGCCACAGAGGTGCTGACTTAGCTGCGCCTGGGGTGTGGCTTTCATATCTGCATCGGAAGTGTTTAAAAGCTCCTCTGTGGGGCACCTGGGTGGCTCAGCTGGCAGAGACTCTTGCTTTCGGCTCAGGTCATGATCTTGTGGTTTGTAGATAGAGCCTCATGTTGGGCACCGTGCTGACAGTGCAGAGCCTGCTTGGGATTCCCTCTCTCCCTCTCTCTCTGCCCCACACTCCCACGCCCCCTTCCCACCATATGTACTCGCTCTGTCTCTCTCTCTCAAAATAAAAATAAACATTAAAAACAAATAAAAGCTCCTCTACGATTCTAGCGCACAGCCAAAGTTAAGATGATAAACACAACCGAAACGTCTTCTGGGCCCTTCCTTTCTCATGTGTCCATCAAAGTTTAAAACACTGAAGCGAATGGCTGCCAGCACTCTGGAGGTGTTGAAACCGCTCTTTCATTACTTAAACTTTTCTAGAGATGGAAGCAGAACATTCCTCTACGATATCCTTGACTGGGAGATTTTCCAGCCTCTTCTGGTCAAACATTTCCAATGACAGGGAACTCGCTACCTTTTGAAAAGGCACTTTGGAATTGTATGCTTGTAACAGGTGACCGTCACAGTATGTAAATTACAGGTCTTCCTCAATCCAGGATGGTGTTGAGTTCCGACACACCCACCATTAAGTTGAAAATATCGTCCGTTGGGGCGCCTGGGTGGCTCAGTCGGTTAAGTGTCCGACTTCAGCTCAGGTCACGATCTCGCGGTCTGTGAGTTCGAGCCCCGTGTCAGGCTATGGGCTGATGGCTCATTGCCTGGAGCCTGCTTCCGATTCTGTGTCTTCCTCTCTCTCTGCCCCTCCCCGGTTCATGCTCTCTCTCTGTCCCAAAAATAAATAAACATTAAAAAAAAAGAAAATATCGTCCGTCAAAAATGCATTTAATATACCTAACACACCAAACATCGTAGCTTAGCCTAGCCTACCTTACATGTGCTCAGAGCACTTACATTAGCTTGTATCTGAGCAAAATCACCTAATACAAAGCCTACCTTATAACGAAGTGTTGAATGTCACATGTAATTTATTCAATACTGTACTGAAAGTGAATGGCTGTGTGGCACAGCACGGTAGTCAGTGTATTAGTTGTGTGCCCTCATGATCCTGTGGCTGACTGGGAGCTGCGGCCAGCTGTCTGGCATCATTAGAGACTACTGAACCAAGTACTGCTAGCCCAGGAAAAGATCTAAATTCACAATCTGAAGCACGTTTTCTACTGAATGTGTATCACACTTCATACCACCGTAAAGCCAAAAAATCATTAAGTTGAACCATCATAAATCAGGGGTTGTCTGTATATCTCAGTAAAGCTGTGTGTGTGTGTGTGTGTGTGTGTGTGTGTGTGTGTGTGTAAGTAGTCCACAGTAAGTGATCTCTAAGCATCAATTTCCGATCCATATGGAGTGACAGTATTTCCTTTGTAGGACTTGTGAGGATTGGAAAGCACCTAGTAGCTGGAACATTGTAAGATGCTCAATGAATAAAGCTTCCCTTCCTCTCTCCGTAAAGGTGGAATGGAAGTCTTCCCCTAAAGTCCTTTTTCAGGCTAAACACTGCTCATGTTTACAATCCACAGATAGTTAATGACTCATCAGGCTGTGGTTTTTCCATTCCTCATCCTCTCAGTTCTCCTGCTCTGAATCCTCAGATTTGGTTTTGTTTTTTTAAGTGAGCTCTACACCCAACGTGGGGCTTGAATTCATGATCCCAAGATCTGAATTCTCACGATCTACCGTCTGAGCTCAGCCAGACCCCCGTGAAATGCTAAGCTGTGACAACTGTTTGTGGTGGCATCGCTTC